CAAGAAAATGTCTGCTCCAATTTTAAAGGCACGTACAGCTGTATTGGACTTTAGGGATAAAGAAGCCCGTCAACAAGTATTGTATGAGGTAAGAAAATAATAGCCCATTCAGCCATCCCTGAATAGCTCCTCAGGTCATCGTGAAGTACACGTCTAGGCCGGGCCCAGCACCCACCCCACCCGGCAGTTCACTCTCAGCTCCCACTATACGGTGGTGGAGGCGAGAGGAACCTTTTGGCGACCTGCCAACGTCATAATCAGTGTCGAACACAGCAGCTTCCCCGTGGACTCGCTCCGCAGCCCTCCCACCCCGCCCCTCTCTACGTCTTGTAGGTCCTTTCATGTCCCCACGGGCTGCCCGGCCCCTTGATCCCCACTCGTATGCCGCGCCACCCCACCCGCCACGCCTCGCCTCGGTTCTGAAAGGCTTTTGACGGCATCCCCCACGATGTCCCGCCTGGTCCCGCGCGCCTCCTCCCCAGCCGCTGGCGTTTCCTCGCCTCGATGCTCATCGGCTGCTGCTCGGACAACGCACGGGAAAAACGAAAATTTCGAGGGTTCGTGCGGGGGATAGCGAGGAAGCCAGTGTTTGAAAGTCAATCCCGTGATGAAACATCCAAAGGGCTGGCAGGGGCGAGCGTAGGGGAACTGGGAGACCCTTTTCTATCTCCTGCGTGGGCAGCCCGAAATAATCTGCATGTATCTAAAAGGAAAAGTAAATCTCTTCGAGTGCGACGACGGGTGGGGGTAGGGGAGGGCGCGCTGACTGGAGCGGGGCAAGGCCCGGCGGGGCGGGGCGGGACGGGACGATGCGTGACAGGACCCCGGGCGGGCTCGGCCCAGGGCCCCGCGACCACGACGGGGTGGTCAGCGGACCGCGGTCGAGTATAAGACTCTCGGGCACTGACCGCCGCGGGCCAGTTCACCTTCCGATCGCCTCCGATTACGACCGCCCGCGTACACCGCTCGTGTCCGTGTCCGTGCCCGTGTCCGAGCGCCCCGAGCGCCCCAAACAGCGTCAGCAGCACCGTGTTTGCCGGGGTCCGAGCCGCAGCCCGCCTTTTGTCCGGCCCAAAAGGTACGGAGCGTCGGCGGCACAGCGTCGGCCGGGCGTCGCGTCGGCGGGGAGCCCGGGCAGGATTACAGAGGGATCAGGAACGGGATCAGGACCCCCCGCGGAGTACAACATTGGATGCTGTCCGCCCCCGCGGGGTGGGCATTGGCGGCCCGGCCCACCCAGTCCGGTAGGTGGGCGCAGAGCCGCCGCCCGCCGCCCCAGCCGCACCGCCGCCGACCCTTTTAGCTTCTATTGCTGATAACATTTCGCAGTCTACAAAGGAAATGCGCAAATTCTCGGCATGAAAGGTTAAGGGGTTTCCTGTCGGAGAGCGCGCGGCGAGGCAGCGGCAAGGTGGTGGCAGGGCAAGGTGGCAGGTGGGGGGATCGAATCGAAGCCCCCGCCGCTTCCTTTTCACCCCGCAGCACTCGCTCAAGCAGCTGCCTTTGCTCTGTCTCTCTCCGACCAACGGAAGGAACGAGTGCGACGGTGAAGGGGCGGGAGACAGCCGGTAGTGCAAGGACGACTCAAGATGCACGCGGGCGGGGCGGCGGGACTGACGGCGACCTGTTGGCTCAACGTTGCACTCGTTTCGTGACGATAAGCGCCGTGATTGGGCTGTCTGGCGTCGACATGGGCGTCCCCGGGCGTTGCCTTCGAGCAGCGCAGCACCAGCGACGGCGGCGAAATGGGAAAATTATCGGGCGCGGGGGAGTCTCTTGTCGAAGCAACAAAAGGACAGAGGGCGCGGGCGGGGCGGGCGGGGTGCCACGGGGGCGACACGATTCAAGCTGCTGTCGAATGCAGCGCCAAATCATTACGGTATATCGACTGTTTGGGCTGGCAGAATACAAAGAAGAATATCGAGTGCAGCGAGCAGGGCGGCACACTTTGAAGCAAGTCGACCGGCAAATTAGAAGTTGGATGGTTTGACGAGGAGGGACAAGCTTACCCGGCTAACGTTGGTTGGTGCGGGCACCTGTATGCACAGGGCCACACGAGCCGCGCCATGGCCCGGCCGCCGCAGGTGCTGCCGCTGCTGCTGCCACTTCTGCTGCTGCTGCTGCTCCTGGACTGCACGCGCTGCCGCATGATCGACGTGAATTCCTCCACCTCGGAATCCAGGTCGGCCGCCTCGTCCTCCCCCTCCGGCGCCACGGCGACCACCACGGAGAGGGTCATGGTGGTCACGGCGCGCTCTGTGGATCTGCGGAAGTAAGTACTCTGGCGTTAAAAACCCAAAGAAAAAAATGACAAAAAGGTACGTGCGGACGGACAATAAATTATCTTTTTAGTTTAGAAAAGCAAACTGTTTGATCGGAAAATCTAAAAAGGAAAATTTATGGCAATGTTTCATTCCACGAATTTCCCCCTAAATGCTTTTTTGCCCCCCTTCTATATTGTACACACGGTCGTGGGAGTGACGTCGGGACGCGTCAACGCCTCGTATCGGGTAGCGAGAGTGCCCACTCCACCCCGCTGCGACACACCCCTCCACTAGCGGTAACCGGGCCGCTCTCCGCCAGGCCCCGCCCCGCCCCGCCCCGCTCTCGCGGAATCTATTATAGCGCTCCCAATTAGAAAATTTAGTCCCTCTCTCCTACGCACTGAAATGCTAACGCTCGTTCGCTCGCTCGCACGCCCACGCTAGAAAACCAATAGTAGACGCGATGAGAGAGTGGAGTGGTATCGTGTTCTGGTAGTGCTTTAATGGTGCCCCACCCTCCCAGCCCCGCCCCCACGCCAGGCCCAGTCTACCGTGAGAGAGTCCTGGTGGACGTACGACGAATAATTCCCCCCCCCCTCCCCAACCCCTTTCCAGGTCGCGGACCCACTGGCCGCACGCGTCACCCGTCACGGCGCTGCACGCTTTCTCTTCGTCGGCGGCCGACGGCGACGACTGGACGGCGGGCGTCGCCAAGCGGGACGTGAAGCAGGACGCGCCCTGGCAGCAGCGCCTGCTCGCCGAGGACGCCGCCGTGCTGCAGTGGAAGCGCGCCGAGGACGAGAAGAGCCTCCAGCAGCAGGAGAAGCGGGTGAACAAGGAGAGGTTCGTCGTGGGCGGAGCGCCGTCGCCGTCACCGTCGCCGAGCGCGGCGGACGACGTCGAGAGCAACACCGTCGACGATGGCCCGGCGCTGCACGAAAAGGGCGAGGGTGGCGTCCGGGAGAACCAGGGGGCGGTAAAGCATGTCGATCACGACGAGGCCGTGCACGGTGAGGACGCCGAGCCGGCTCCCGCCCCGACCAGGAAGGTCGTGGACTCCAACGCGAGGGTGCGCACCCTGCTCGCCGAGCTCCAGGAGGTGATGCAGGTCAGTGAAAGTGGTGAAAGCGAGCGAGGGCTACACGGTCTGCTGTGCTGCGTCTGATACCCGCTACCTATCTGCAGAAGTACCTTCGACGCTCCCACCGAAAGGACCGTCGCTACGAGGACGCCGACGACAACAGTTTGCGCCCGGGACCGTACCACGGCTCGACCTGGTGGCCCCGCTCCGAGGACCTGATGCGCGCGTCGCTGCGCGTGCTCGTCGCCTGCCGGCAGGGCCTGGACCGGCAGCACCAGGAGCACGGCGACGACGTCGACGACGACGACGACCTCCAGGGGTCGCAGGACCCGCGCAACCTCCTCGCCCGCCTGAGAGAGTGCCTCCGTGGACGGCTGCTGGCCGCCGTCGACAACCTGGTGGCTGCGGACACGGTCCCTATCGCCTTCGGGGTCAGTCTGGTGCGGCGGCACGAGCTCAGGTAGGACCATCACGACGGACGCAGGCGTGGGAGGAGAAAAGGCAGGCGAAAAGAGAGGTAGAGACGACTTTCGAGTTTGGGGGATGAAACCGTTGATAACGCAAATCATCATCTCCACCTTGGAGCCTCCATTATGTTGCCGAAAACCAGCCATGCGTTTAAGAGATGGAGATGAAGCTAGTGCGGGGGCGGACGGTACGGACGGGGCGGGATGAGGGAGGAGTGGGGCCAGGCAGGGGGGACGGAATGGAGGGGGAGGGGGGTAATCTGCAGAAAAGGAGCTCAGCTCTCTGGCAAATATTGACGTAGCGAGCAATTGGATGAAATGCACATTTGAGCTTCATGCGGACCGCCGCGCGCCGCGCCTCGAATCTCCGCCATGACCCTCCAGATCCGCGTAGAGCCCAGCGGAGCCCGGTCACGGGACGGGCGCTCTGTACGCCAACGCGCCACTCGGCGTGACGCGAGTGAGCGAGGTGGGTTTGCGAAGGAGGCGCGCCCCCGCTCCTCCCCGTTCACCCGCCCCCGCCCCGCCGGAAGGAGCAGGCGAGCATCTTGTCGTCTCAAACCGACCCCAAAGTCAAGAGGCTCGAGCCGTCGTGCGGCGCCTGCGGCGCCCTGGCGTGTCGGCCCGCGACCCACTCAATAAACTTGTCCGCTCGCGCGTTTCCGAGTCGCGACGCGTCTCCCTCTCTCTCCACCACAATGACGCTCTCGGGCGCCTTCGTCACGCCGCGCCACACCGTCACGCCACCGTCACGGCTCCATGAGAGACAGCCCCCGGCCCCGGCGGGCGCGTCAAGCATCCCGCGCCCCGCCGCGTCGCTCAGCGAGCAGCGCGGAGCAGCGGCGCGACGGTTGAAATATGATGGTTTTCCTCCGTAAGGGGAACACCCGTCCGCCCCTCGCCAGCTTTGCCTGCCCGCGGCACGCCGCCCCCAGCCTGCCCCCGCGACGTGTGACGTGTGGCGAGGGTTGGCAAGCGCCCAGTCACGCATGGCATCCGGCGTGGCATCCGCCGCCCTACAGCCCGCAGGGTGGCTATACGGCCTCGCGCTAGCTAATTTTTTCATACGCGCGCGCGTGCTACTTTCGCAGTGTCATCATAAAAGATTTTTGTGAAGTTTGTTCGTGAAAAAACACGAAGAGAGAGGAGCGAAAAGAGGGATGGGGGGGAGGCACTTTATGTTGGAGTTGATTTGACGAGGAATGTGTCGCTATAAAGTGTGTGTTTGTTGGGGGCGACGGCAGGCCGGGCCTCATCAGGCCGGGCCGCGTCGGCCGTGACTCGCAGCAGGACGCCCAGGAGGTGGCGGAGGCCGGGCCGCAGTCCCAGGCACTCGCCCCGAGGCTGCTGTCCAGGCTGGGCGATCTGTTCGCCACGCACGACCTCAGGATCGGCTACGGGGCGGCCGTCGAAGAGGGTGAGTCCACCGGGGCCAGCGCGAGGGGTAAGTACTTCACTCGAGAAAATCAGTGTACACCCTCCAAAACAAAATCAAAACAATCAGAACAATCAGAAAAAGATCCAGAGAAAAGGCCATAAAAAACGTAAAGGCAGTTTGGAAATCAGAAAAAATGAGCATTTTCTGAAAGCCAAGAATTATTCAAGAAAAATCAAGACAACCCGAAAAATCGGTGTACGCTTGAATTTATAGTGAAGGACCCCTCGGGCCAGCGCGCCCGCCGCACCGACTCGCGCGCGTGTGACCGACAAGTGACTCGCCCTTTCGCTGCTCGCAGGCCGGCGCCGCCACCAGTACCGCAAGGTGTTCCCCGTGCTCGTGACGGGCTTCATGATCCTCATGTCGCTGATGGTGCCGCTGGGCTTCCAGTTCATGGCCATGATCGGCGGCAAGGCGCTGCTCATGAGCAAGATGGCCCTCATCATGGCGTCCATGTACAACTTCAGGAGGTGAGTGAATGAGTGGCGCCCACGCGCGCGGAAGCGGCGCGGACAAGCAGAGCAAGGCGAGCAAGGCCGCGCGAGAACGGCGTTTATTACCTTTATTGCGCAGAACGCAAAGACAACCCCCGCCCCGCATGCCCCGCGGCAAAAAAAAGAAAGAAAAAGAAAACTGACCTGGTAACTCGATACCTCGGAGTGGGCGGCAGGTGGCAGGTGGCACGGCAGGGGGGTATAAGGGGGAGGGGAAAGGCGACAAGAGGAGGAAAAAGCAGAGGTTCGCTGCGTTTATTTGAGTCCGCGCCCAACACAACAGGACCAGCAGGACAGGACGGCATCCCCTGCGCGCGTCGCCTCCGTGCTGCTGCATTCAACCCCCGCGCAATCGAATTCAGGGGGCAGCGCGCGGCGTGCTGCCCTGCCCTGGCCCTCTCGCTCATTTCCAAGTCCATCACTGGAGGACAGATGGAGGTGGAAGGGGGGGAGGACCCGTGTGGACCCAGAGCAATCTGCGGGCAGCGGCCCTCAACTAATTCGTGGGGGTGTTTCGCGGCGGAGCAGATGTGTATGAAAAGAGGTTTTGAGTGGGTGGTGTGGGGGTGCGGGAGGGGGGTCGGTCGGGGCGGACAGCTGAATACATCGGGACACCACGGAATGAATATTACTCGTATCATTGCGCCGCCCACGAGCGTCCTGCCCTCTGGACGCGTCATGGGGGCACCCCCACTCTTTCTCTCTTTCACTCACACACCCACACAAAGACACACACTCACACGGCCTATGTGACTGACGCCCAACCACACGGCGGTGTTGTTTCGGCGTCAAATCCGGGTCGGTTAAATCAACACGATATGAAAAGGGGGCGTGGGGGTGGAGAGGAGTATGTGGGTTAGTTGGTTCGGTGCGGCGTGGGGTTGGGGTTGAAACACGTATACAATGACGAATGCGGGGAACCGCAGATGGGTAAAGCAAAGGGCAAACGGGGGTGTAGGAGAGGGGTTGGCGGTGGCGAAAGTGGACCGGCGGAGGCGGGCGGAGGGGTAGGAGAACTGCATGGTTCTATTCTAGGATTGGGGGGAGGGGGAAGTCAAGGGG